ATATGCATATACATATGAATAAAAAAATATTTTTATGCAAATGCACATGCATATTTTAAAAAAAAATATATTTATAATGTCTCTATAGACATAAAAGTAAGGTATGCATATGCATATGCTTATCAATATGCATATACATATGCATAAGAATAAGAATAATTATATAACATATGCATATTCATATGCAACAAAAGTTTATGATTTAAGTAGTGAAGCTACAAGAAGAAACTAAATATAGAAAATAATGTTAATATAAATAAATAATGTGACTTGCATTTCTTTCTTTGTCTATGAAATTCCCAGTATACCCTCAAACATTAACTATGATGAAGTACCTGGAAAATTTTGAGAAGTACATGAAGCCTTTAACCCTGTTGTTCTATGCCCAATTGTTGGTTTTATAGTTGTTAATTGTAAGCTCTTTGAAACTGTGGCCTCCATTCTGTCTGTGAACCAAAAACAGCAATAAACTTTCAAAATAGAACCAAAAACAACAATGCACTTTCAAATATAACCAAAAACAACAACCCACTTTGAAAATAGATTAAAAAAACAACAATGAACTTTCAAAATGGAACCAAAAATAGCAATTCACTTTCAAAATATAACCAAAAACAACAATACACTTTGAAAATAGAACCAAAAACAGCAATGGACTTTCAAAATAGAACCAAAAACAACAATGCACTTTCAAAATAAAACCAAAAACAACAATGAAGTTTCAAAATGGAACCAAAACTAGCAATGCACTTTGAGAAATGTAACTAATGGACATTTGATTCCAGATGCAAATAAACACTAAGAAAGATGCTTTTTTTTTGAAAAATTCTTTTTTTATATCTTTTTTTCGAAATATAATGCATATTTTCATATATATGTAATTTTTAATTTTTTCTAATTTTTTTAATTATGCGAAAATATTCCTTAAATTTTGAAATTAATATTTGGAAAAAGAATTTAAAAAAAAACACATATGCAAATGCACGTGCATATTTAAAAAAAACATTTTTAATGCCTCTAGATGCATATGAGTAAGGTATGCATATGCATATCCATATGAATAAGTATATACATATGCATATGCATAATACTCTTATGCATATGCATATGCATAATGATAAGCATATGTATATGCATATTCATAAGTATATGACATATGCATATGTATATGAATAAACATATGCATATGTGATACGTGCATATATATATATATATATATATATATATATATATATATATATATATATATATTACATCATATCTTAATACTTTTAGCTATAATTATGTTTATTATATAACAAAAGGTACTTATTATGTTTAATATATGTTATGTAGCATAAAAGACATGCTCGGAAGCAACATGGAAGCTGGAAGCAGGAAAATGCGAGCTTAGGCAAGAAGAAGACACAATTGACGAGATTCAAAATGATCTGAAAACTAGACATAATTTCGGATGACTTTCGTGTTTTGAGAAAAGTCAGATTTTCAACCACGACGACGTGGTGAATGGAATCTTCGCGATTCTTGACGCCGACTTGGAGAATACGGGATACACTTGAGGACCATGACGTGGTGCCTTTACCACGTCGTGGTGTCGAGATTTTTGGTAACTATATATATCTTGGACATTAGGTCGATTCCACAGGAGAGAGGGCTGAAGGCTGCGACTATTAACGAAAAAATAACCTTCCAAGACCCCTTTGAGGGCAGAATTCAACTAGAGATCAAAGGATAAAGAGATTGGAGCAAGGATTCGCATCTACACATTCGGTTTGCCTAGTTTCCCTTATGTTTATGTGTTTTCAAGCTGTGATTATTGGCTAAAACCCTTGCTTTCGTTTACTTAGACGAAACCTAAAACTATGAGTTAGTTTCTTACTTTATGGATTATATGAATTTGGTTTATGCATGTTTTTTATTATCATTACCTAGCATGTTAAAGTTTGTAACTTTGTTGCTTAATTTCAAGTGTAGTGTAGCTTAGTGACCATTAAATTACATGAACTTGATTACCTAGTGATTTAGTGACCATTAAATTGCTAGAGCTAGGATCGACCAAATCTTAGATAAGTAATAAAAGTAACAAATTTAGCTGTACTGAAGAACATAATTGTGACCATAATTGTGTTTGTTTCACTACTAGAAAACAACCCTTTAATGACGTGCAAACAATGACACTCGCTGATAGAGGACGCGCATTTGTGCGTGCCTTAAAAAATAATGTCAGTTTTGCAAAATTTGAAGGATAGAAGACACGTATTTGTGCGTGCCCTAAAATTAGTGTCCAACAAAAAAAATTAAAAACACGGAGGACACCTATCATAAAAAAGTGTGTCGTCTAAAACTGTCGCTTTATATTTTTCTTTATGAATGCGCGTTCTCCAATTTTTTAATTGCCCAGGGGGGGATGAAATCCGAAAAATAAAAAACCCGCCTTTCTACTCCTTCTTCTTCTTCGTATGTTGTAAAATCCTCTTCAATCAAAAGAAACCCTAAAAGCATTGTGTGTAAAAGATCGATAATTTCATACTTGAAGTTCCTAAAATCTTCATCGATCAAAAGAAACCCTAAAACCCCGCCTGATACCCACCTCATCTACCTCCAACCCACACCGACTCTTCAAGCCTCGCACGACGACGATGTACTGACTGTATCAACCAACACTTCATCCACCATCACCATTTGCAGCTCTCTCACCCCAGCCTCAAGGAAACCGATTTGCTAACCCTCACGAAAAAGAAAACGAACATGACCTATGATTAGGATTACTCGATCGGTGTTGTGCTCAAGAAATCGACTCGCTATTGCCGCCACCTCTCGCCCCCTCGCCATTTCCGTCACTTTTAACTCTCTCGCGATTTACAGGATTACTATTTAGGGTTTATCTTACACAGGTATATTCTTTTTCTCCCTAAGTAGGTTAATTCGAATAATCTGAAAGTCAATCAACTCATTAAATTAGGTATTTTTGTGCCGAATATGTTCATTGATCAACCATTTCTCCTCGATCTACTTTATTTTTCAGTTCCTGAGGTACGATCTATCCGTGATTTTCTTTGAGTCTTCTTTTGGTGTTGGTGTCGTTTAATCCTTTTTGAATGTCGGATAATGCTTCAGAGTGTAGATGTTATCTTTGTATGTAAATTGATCTTGTAAATTCTTTCTTATGGGTTTTTACTTGCTGTTTTAATCAGGAAAGAGGCCTTCATTTCCATGATAAGTTTGATCTGGATGAAGAAACTAAATATTCATCGGTTTTCCGCGGGGGGGGGTTGATGATAGTGGTTATGATGAAAGTGAGGACGTTTTTTATTCACAAAATAGTGAAACCTTTGGAGATGTTGTGAATGAAAATGAGTTGTATCCATCTGGTTCTTTAGATGTAGAGATGAGGTAAAAAAATGTTGTAAATCGTGTCATTATTATATTTATATGTATGTACCGGTGTTTGTGACTAAGTTTTTGTTGTTTTAGGATTCAAGATAATCAACAACATGTTGCGGATACAGAGAATCACATGGTAGATTTAGTTTTTCACCACCTACTCACTGTTTAGATGTCTGTGTGTATGTTATTGTCTCTTGTTTTGTTGTAAGTAATATACTAGTTATTGACTAACTAATAATAATGCAGTTGTATGAAGAAAGCAGGCATGGTTCAAAATCTGAGGGTTAGTCTTTTGCAGCAATCCGTAAATCTAAATCTTGTTTAAGTTTACCTTTTTGTAATAGTTAATAGTTAATAGTTATGTTTCTTCCCTTCCATGGTACAGAGTGGTCAAATAAAGAAAAAGAAAGAGAAAGTGGTGATAAAGGGCTGAATGCGACTGCAACTGCATATGCCCCTCCTAAATCTTAATCTAAATCTAAAGCTCAGGAGGATAAGGCAACAAGCTGTAGTCAGGTATCGCAACCTGGAGTTGGAGTCCCTCGTGCACGTCCTGCTACTTCTGCTTCTGCTTCTGCATCATCCACTTCATAATCTAGAAATGCTTCTCCTGCCCCTGCAACTGCAACTGCTCCTGGACCTGGATTATCACCAACCTCATCAATGGGATCTCTCACCTCCGACAAATCACCATTAAACCCTCACACAAAGGTTCAATATACTTTCGTTTACTTGGGAATATCTACCTGACCAGTCATAGCAACTATGGCTATCACTTTCAAACTATAAAGTACTAAATTTAAATTGAAAAAAATGGGACTACATGTTAGATTTTTATTTTTTTTAATGGTTTTTGATCCATTATTCCATCCACTTAAAAAAAGAAAACAAAAAAAAACATCTTGATTCTCTCTCTTCAATTAAAATGAGAAAATAGTAAGAGAAAAGGTTCACTTCTCTTGACTTGTTAACAAAATGATAACCTTTTAATTTTTACAGAAAGGAAATTGTCTTAAACAAACAAAACATTAGGCACAAGGATGATGACATGGATTGCTGATTGTTGATGACATGGATCTTATTGATGAGGACAGCATGTTATCTGAAGAGGACTTGAAGAAACCTCAGCTCCCACCTGGTAAATGTTAAGAGTTAGGGTTTTCATTTTTTTTCTGTGGATAAGTGTGTAGATGTTAAATTGGACGAGGTGAGATTTTGTTGTTTCTGACTGCATATTGTGATGAGGTTTTGCAGTTGGTGATTGTGAAGTTGGAAGCACAAGGATGCTGAAGAATATGCAAAAGGGATGGATGAATGCACTTACAAAAATTGAAAATTCATGAATTATCATACCTAAGTGTTAACTGAGCGGATAATATGAAAAATAATTACAGGTATTAACTTAAAAAAAAATAAAAACTTTATGAAATGCTTTTCTCATCTTCACAGTTAAGAAGCTTATTTGATTTCGTCGACACGACCATGGCATCAATATTTGTTTCTTATCCATTGCTATATCTATATATGGCTACTCCATATTTCCCTAATATTTATAGTGGTGATTATTACTTTTTTTCAGGCGATTGTTGTTTTTGTGATAACCATACATTCATATGCCTTTGAGAAAAGTGGGTTGGAGGAGGTATCAATGGTGGCACTTTCTGGCTGTGTCTGGCTACAAGCTTTTGTGGTCACAATGGAGACCAAGTAAGTTACCAACACCTGTGATTTCAACTATTAGAATTCATCTTGACCATTTGTATTTGTGAAAATATTTCCCTCTCTTCCGACAGTGCAATACATCTTTCTGAATCTTTTTCTCAAACCAACTAGTCTCCCGCCTTCTTTGGTAGGACAAAAAAAGTTGCAATTTTTGTCTCATTTACTTAATACAATAATACAACATGTTCTACTATTCTATCCTGTCCAGCTTGTCTAAAATAAAAAATTCAAATAATGTTTTTTTATATATATGTACTTTTTTGTCGAAAAAGAAATGTGTGTGTACACGATACATGTTGCTTTAAATAAATCTGTATGAAACCGAAACTCAGGAAGGATCTCTATGTATGGAAAACATGAAAAAAGGACTACAGTAAGTGAAAAGAGTGATTGTGTTTAGTTTAAGTTTGACCTAACAAAAGCAAGCATAGAAGCTAGAAGCTCTTCTACTGAACAAGTGTATATCACCTGTTATAATAGCGGTCCAATTGCTGTTTGAACCTACTCTTTTTAAGGGTAGTATCCGGACAAATCTTGACCCCTTAGGACTTCACTCTGATCATGAAATATGGGAGGTAATAAAAATATAAATAAAAATGAAAATTCATATTATTATTTATTATTATTATTTTGACTGATTCTTGCAGGCATTGGAGAAATGCCAGCTTAAGAGTACCATTAGTAGTCTCCCAAACTGTTTAGATTCATCTGGTAAGAACACTGTAGAATTGAATTCTGTCCATTTATGGAATGTAATTCAAAATTCCAATTCCAATGTTTTTTTTTGGTAAAACAGTGAGTAATGAAGGAGAAAATTGGAGTATGGGTCAACGACAGCTGTTCTGTTTAGGAAGAGTGTTGCTTAGGAGAAACAAGTTCTTAATTCTTGATGAAGCAACTGCATCAATTTATTCAGAAACATTTGCCACTGTACAAAGGATTATAAGGCAGGAATTCTCAAGTTGTACTGTTGTAACAGTTGCTCATAGGATTCCAACTGTTATATACAGTGACATGGTCATGGTCCTCTCCTCTGGTATGTATCTTATTCTTCCGAAACACATATATCTCATAAAATGACACAATTACCCTCTACAAAATAGTAAAATTTCATGTATAATAGGTGAAATGATGGAATATGATGCGCCCTCCAAGCTAATGGAGTCGGATTCTTATTTCTCAAAGTTGGTTGCTGAGTACTGGTCCAGCTGCAGGAGATGATCCACGGGTAATTTCTTTTCAAGTTAAAAGTAAAAGTAAAATATCTTATTATTCGTTATATGTATATATGTATATGTATGTGTATATATGTATACACATATACATATATCTGTTAATTCATTATTCTTTATGAAGATTTGAACTTGATAGTAGATGATAATAATGGAAATCTGGAAGAATAATATGCAAGTTATACAAAAATTTCGAAAGGGTATTTTGGGTATTTGGTAGTAGATATTAATCCACAAGAAAAATCTTTACTGCATGATTGGGTGAAATCATTGTCGTTATTAAGTTTTTTTTTTCTCCTTTTTGGGTATTTGGTAGTATATATTATTTGTGCACATTGAATAGGAATTACACTGCCAACCTTGTTACATAGGTGGTGAAAATTTGTTTTTTTTTTCAGGGAAACCGGGTTTTTCAAGATTTTAATATTTAAAAGGGAAGCAGGGGGGCTTCATTTAGTCCTGTTTCAAGGGAAGTGACAGTTGAGGTTTAAATAACTACCTTGAGATTCATCTATTATGGACTGGAAAAGGGACTTGTTGTGTACCCACTCAAGGAGATTTTGGACCTCTTATCTCAGAAATCAATGCTACACCAAGTAAAATTCTTTCATGAAATTGTTTTTTCTTAACTTTGTGCTCTTGATTGACAAAATGACAAGACAACCCCCTTTACTTGTTATATATTGATTGCTCTTGTTTTTTTACTTGTTTGATTGTATGGATTTTGGTTCCGGTTGTAGTTGTGAGCTTTCAGATGTTATTAGCCTTGTATATTCTTCGTCAGCGAAGGAAAACGAAGAATAATGACGACACTTATGATGAAGTTGATTTTGTTGAATCTTTCTTTATGACATAGATGAATAATGTTTTCCATTGTTTTTCCTTTGAGTTTTTTTATAACGTTTGCTAATTTGCAGAGTTCCTGGGAATTGACACGAAGCCTTATACTTTTGGTTATGGAGACTTGAGATATGCAACAGATGATTTTAGTCCTGCAAATAAGCTAATAAGCTCGGGGAGGGTGGTTTTGGACCTGTTTACAAGGTAATTCTTGTTGGATTAGTGTCTAAGTCCATAACTATTTTGGTATTTACTTGACCCGATTGTGAGCATGGTCCTTTTGGGTTGCCTTCACACTGGTGACTAGACAGGATGACAGTTGAGGAGAGAGGTTGATTAGGGCATAAATATGATTTATTTATTATATTATATGATTAATATAATAATTTGGAATCATATTATCAGAAATTAATTAGGAATTAATTTCGGGATTGAAGGAATTAATTAAAAGTACAGGGCCTGTTTTGTAATTATTTGATAGTTGAGACTTTGGGCTATTGGATCACTTTGATTAAGGCTTGAACGAAAATCCTAGAAGGATCTAGGAGTTTTCGTCCAAGGGCTTAAGGAAAGGAGTCCATGGACTTGCTTAGGCCCTAAGCTAAGGGATTAGGGTTTCCACCTTGAAACCCTAGCTAGCCTCAAGTATAAATAGAACCCTAAGGCACTAGAATTCGTCCAAGCCTTGGGAAACCCTAAAAGGGACGAATTTTAGGGCAAGATATCCTTCTCTCCTCTCTCCCATATTCATCCTTTCACCTAGTGTGTTTGTGAGCCATTAGAGGTACTACACTTGTGGTACTTGCTTTCAAGAGCTAAGGAAATTCAAGGAACTAGTTGTTATTACTACATAACAACAAAAGGTATGTATTCTATTCTCCTATATCAATTTCGAAAATAGTAGATGCATGCTAGGGTTCTTTTGTGTTCATAAAGTTGTATAACTAATAGTGAAAACATAGATCCAACTCTAGGGTTGCATGCACACATAGGATTGATTGTATAAAACCCATCAGTGGTATCAGAGCCATTGGTTTTGTTTTCAATTAGCTTTATTCAAATGTATGAACTTGACATATTAGGGTTTATGGCTAATAAACCCTGGAGGCTTGATTTTCGAAATTAGGGTTTCTAAACCCTAGATTTCGAAATTTTTGGTAAGATTTCCTAAACCTTTTTCTTTGGCCCCAAGATTTCGATTTTAGGGTTGTCTAACCCTAGAATTTCGAAATTGCCTCTTTCCCCATGATTAGATCCTAAATTTTAGGGATTTGGATATTGCCATATCTTGTAATTATCCTTTAAATGTTTAAATTTGGTAATTAAAGATTTTGAATATCCCATCCCATAATTTCGAATTCTAGGGGATTTAAGGGATTAGGTTAAATTAATTGTTTAATTTAAGAGATATCCTTACCAAAGTAAAAGATAATTGTCAAATTAATTAGATAATCATTTCTTTATGTGATAAACTTGATTTATTTGAATTATTTGATAGATTATCTTGCAAGAAATTGAATTAGGTCATATTAAGATAATTACTAATTAATTGGTTAATTATTATTAATAATTTGATCTAGAATGTTCTTGCTTATGTTTTGAAAAGTTTCAAAACTTGCCCTCAAGTTTTGGAATTTAAAAGTTGATTAAAAGTTTAATTTTGAAATGTTAAATTCTAAAACCCTCGTATTTTGAATAAGTTCAAATTACACCCTTATGGTTTTGGAAAGTTAATAAAACCACCTAGTATTTTAAAAGTATAAAATACACCCTATACTATATATGTAACATTAAAAGTCTAATATTATATATATGAGTAAAAGTCAGTCTTACCGTTAGTAGGCCTCATTCACGAAGCTGGTCTATAAGGGGTGTTTAAGGAAATTGCCTATAAAATGGCGATTGAATGGGTATCCACTCTTACCCACCGCACTCTTGACTAGTGGAGGGTCGTTAGCCGAACAGGTAGGATAGGACAGAAACCTTCCATTATAAGTATAATGAAGTACAAAGTAACTAAATGCTTTTACAAATTCCCAAATCTTAGTTACTCTAGGATAAAATGTGAAAGTGATGCTAATCCATGGAATTACACTTTGTGCCCCTGTCAATCGTTGGTGGAGCGCGTGTGGTTAACCGGCACACTAATTTGGGATTGACATTGGCGACAAAGGGTGGTTCGATGTTTTATCATAGATCAATGGAGCGTGTGTGGCTAACCGGCACATTGATTAGGTGATGAAGACATTGAGTGCACCATGTTGGTTCGCATGGTTATTCACAAACTTGTTTGCGATCCTCGGCATCCCAGTCGCAAAATTTGAAGTGCATATCGAGATTTAAACATGCCATTGAAAGGTTCAATGAATCTCAAAAGATCTAGGAGTTTTCAATTCATTTAAAACTTAAATTTCTTTTTCGTTTTTCATGGTGGGAATTGGTAAATCGTCATTTACCTACCTTCAAATATTCTGCAACTAGATTACGGCATCCCTCTTCTAGGTTGTAGAGTATTGTGTTGGATCCTAGCCTTGATGTTTCATTTGGGTGTCACATCAAGGATTCTAATCAACTTAACTTGGATTTTCTCCCGTTTTGTAGATGTCAAAGTATGACAACTATGGTCTTCCCAAATCCCTTGGAACAAGCTTTCCAAATGAAGATGACGTTCCACGATACGATCAAGGAAATGAGAGTCATGCTTCACTTCCTCCACCTCCTCCAATTATTCTCCCTAACCCACAAGTTCAAAGGCTTGAAAAGTTCAAGCTCACTCAAGCCCTATTGGCAAGTAAACACGAAGATGGGAAACCTGTGTGTGCACACATCTTAGAGATGAAGTCACACATTGATAGGTTAAGGATGATGGGTGTCGATATCTCAGAAATGTTGGCTGTTGACTGGATTCTTCAGTCACTTCCTGAATCATATAGTGAGTTCGTTAGAGAGTACTATATGATGGACCATGACGTGACCCTCATTGATTTGACCTATTTGCTTATAGCTGCTGAATCAGAAATGATTTGGCGTGCTAATCGAGTAAATTTGTCTGGCAAATCAAACTCTCAAACTTCAATGGAAATTGAAAATAGTGACATTGGAAATCCAGAAAAGGTAAATTCTGAGATAGTTCCTTGTGCCATTTCAAAAGAGTCCATCTGCTTCTACTGCCAAGAGAAGGGGCATTGGAGACAAAGCTGCCTTTTTTTACCTGAGAGATCTAAGAGATGGGAGAGTCAAGACGTATGGCTCTACTTCAGGTAAAATCCAATAACTAACTCTATAAGTTCCTATTCTTTGATTTTCAATACATGATGTGATAAGATTACATTTTGATGTTTTGTAGGATCGAAGAAAAGAGAGGAAGCTTAAGGGAAAAGTAAGCTGAATCTGATCGTGAAGAAATGGATTTCGATCGCATTGCTTGAAGATCGGATTTTTGAGCTACTACTTTAGAGTTAGAATAGATTGCTTAGAAATTGAAATAGCATAGTTTTCATTTGAATTGCATTGTAAGGACAAGTTTTTCCGCAATAGAATGAATTTTGATTTCGTCCTATTTATTTATCCTTGCAATGGCATATGTGAAAATGGATGTTTATGTATTTCTAATTTTAGCAATGTTGAATTGGATGTGATTCTTGATTATGTTATTTGTGAAATGTCGAGGATTTGCCAAATAAAGGAAGATTCTCATCACCCAAGTTTCAATTGGACAGAAACTTGGAATCATACAACTTGGTTGCGTGATGAATGAGAAACTTCATATTTTGGAAATTAGACTAATTCTTTGGCAAAGTGTCAAGAGAAGGACCAGGAGATCGAGTACACTAGGTTGTGCGTTGATCAAGTCCACCACAAGAGTGATAAAGATATTCGTCATGATTTACTAAAGTTTAGTAAATATGATTATACTTATAAGATTAAGTATAATTCTGAGTTGATTGAAAGAGTTTCAATCAATAGCAGAACGAATAAGAAGAATCAAGTAGGCAGAAAGATAAAAGTTTCTCTATTCTAAGAAGAAGGGAGAGTACCTTTTATTGTGTTTTATGATAAGTCTTAATGATTAAGAACCATATCTCAATTGATCCTCTAAGTGAGTCTTAGTGCAATTGCATGTCTAAGAAGAGGAATCGAGAATTGTAG